AGCCGCTCCGTCTCGTAGAGCTCGGCCTCGTGGTCCAGCACCGCAAGCTCGGCATCGGAGAGGTTGGGTGGTTCACTGGTGGGCTCCCCAACGACTTCCCATTCATCCTCATTGAAGCTAGGGTCGCTCGGCTCAGTGGTCCCGGCCCCGGCCTCAAACCAATCAGCATCGACAGTCTCAACCTCCCGCACCATCGGCTCAGAGCTTGTGGCTGCTCGCTCTTGCCGCTCGCCATCATCCAAGCCAACCTCGTCAGCCTTTCGCTTTGAAGCTGGGCTGCCGCCGGCGTCTGCCAGCAACTCATCTGAAGAGGACGAATCAGAATCTGACCCGGCCTCATCTCCACCTGCTGTGTCCATGTTGCCCTGCTGGTCGGCGGCCACTGCTCCATCAAGTACTGGTACGGGAGCGTCAGGGGCACTGGCAACATCAGCGAGAGGAGCTGCCAAAGGAACAACGGGCGCGCGTTTGCGCCGCTTCTTTTCCACAGTGGTCTTCTCCCAGGGAAGGCCATGGTACTTCTCCAAGAGCTCCTTGGTGGGTAGCTGCAGCTCCTTGCTTGCACGCCGCACCGAAGTGGCCTGCACAGCGCCGTGCTCAGTGAGCACCCAATCGGTGCCGTTGTGCTCGCTGATGCCAACCCACATGCCATCGATCATCACCGGTTCCCCCTTGAATGAACGAGGAACTTTTCCAAAAACAACTTCTCCAAAGCAGCAAAGCTTGGCTGTGACGGGCTTCCCTCCATGGGCCATCTCGTAGGGAGTTCTCTGCAGGCCGGCCACGACGTTAAAGCGGTTGTAAAGGAAGCTAGCGTGGGAGTGGGACCACGCTCGAAGATCAGCTTCTGCAGGTAGTTTGCCGTGCCGATCCTCAAAGTCACAAAGCAAGCAATTTGCCAAACGCCGCACGGTTTGCACTGCTCGTTCTACTCCTCCGTTGGCCTGGTGGTCGCCTACAGGAGTGGTGCGCTGCAGGGTGCGGTGGCCCAACGCATGGCGAGCCTGAGCCACGGCACGCACCACGCTCTTTATCGAGGGCTCCCCATCTGACTGGATCGTCACGGGCTCGCTGGCATGGAGGGCAATGGTGAAGCGGGCCAGCTCCTGTGTGCATCTCGTAAGCACCGTGGCCCCTTTTCCAGGACACGGCACAGCAAGAACCATACGCGTGTCCAAGTCCACTGCCAGCAAGCAACAAAGAGGAGCGCCATCATCATCATCGCCGGGGGCTGGCCGTCCTTCAGGGTCGGCGGCCGTGAAGTAAAAGTCCACCTGCAGCACTGACCACTGTTGGTTGTTCCACGCGCTGTGGTCGATGAGCGTCTGCACGAGAGCGGGTACGAACGCATGCCGAGCACCACCTTGCAAAAGGAATGTGCGTCAAAGAGTGAAGTGCCCGGTCCTCGTCGGTCGGCTCCTCCGGGACATCTCTTGCCAACGGTGTTCGCAAACCATCGCCCTCGAGAGCATCTGCTGCTTGTTTCGCCACAAACGCCTCAAGCTCATCACCTTCAAGACCTGCTGGTGGCTGCACCGGACCGTCGTCACGACCACCTCCATGAAGAGCTGCTCCAGGATCACGAGGG